GAAGCAGGCAACAAAGAACTTCTTCTTTACTACTGTCTGTGGCGTTCAGTTGGGATGTAGCAAGCATCTGCCCAGCCAGCTGAGGGAAACTATTTTCTTGTTTTATTTATTTATTTATTTTAATGTTTCATTTATTTATTTGTGTTTATGAACATATAACCATTTGATATATTATCTATATTTTGATGAATATTGTCTATCACATTACAAGCAAAGAAAACAATTCGCAGAATTTTTACAAATTAAAACTGAAAAAAAAATCTGCAGATTTCGTTTAGTCTGTGTTCTGAGAAACCTTATGGCGCTTTCAGACACAATGTGATCTGAGCTGTGCTTGCCACTGAGTTCATTGCACACAAGTGCTGCGCTGAGCCAAAACCTGGTTGAACTTCACAACCAGGCCGTCGAGCTGCACGCTGTGGCTGTGCGCATGTTTTGCTCGACGCAGCGTAAAGCTGGTGTGGTGCAAGCCATGGAATAAATAGGTTTTAGGGTGCAGCAGTGCCGTTGTGGCTTGTGTCTGAAAGGGCTTTTACTATTTCCATCCCAGTCATATGAAAGCATGGCTCTTACACCTGCATATGTAATTGAATTACCCCTGTGCACACTCCTTTGGGGTTTCTCAAAGATAAAGCTTGAGGCTGTCCTTATTGATATGCTCTGATGTTTATTGTTCAAATGTCCCCTATTGCACAATACATCTAGACTTTACAAATATTTATAAAAAGCGTTTTTGATACAGGAAAAGGATTGCTGACACTAACCTGAAATCAACATGAACAAAAAAATTCAGAGAATCTTCCAAACCCCCTTCCCACTCACCAACTTCAAAATGTGGACAGAGATGCAGAAACAGAAAGATTGGCCCAGTTTCATCTTACATGTAAATCATGGTTTAAGAACAAGTTGATTTCATTCTTTGATGTCTTGCTGATTTATCAGACCTGTTTTCAGTGTTTAAAAATATCCCTTGCTGGGGGTATTTTCACTTTTTGGAAGTTTCTGCAGAAATTCACCCTCAACATGATGTTGAAGCTGTTGCACATATTTTCCCTAAATGGGCATTTCTTGTTGATGGTTTTTATTTGTGGAATGAGGGCATTTTTGAAACTGCAGGAATTTTAGGAGATGACAGTACAACAGAGCTCGTCCAGAGCCATGTTTCTGAGGAAGGCTACTTTTTGACAGGGGCCCTGAAGCTACAGTGTAACATTTTTGGCTCTGAAGACTGATTGAATATGGTGGCCAATAGTGTCCCCAGAGAAGCTTCACAGCATAGTTATTAGTTCTCTTTCTGCTTTTAATCATGATGTTTAAAAGCCCTTCCATTCAAGTAGCAATTACAGTCCCACCAACTTGAAAATTAAGTAAAAATGAATGGAAAAGCATCAGTGTTGTCCACAAGACTGTCTTGTTTGGCTCATCGTTCCAATGAGTCCAGCAGTCTGAGAAAATGAGATCAAGTGGAAGTTTGTATTTCCCGTCAAGCCACAGGGGGGTCAGTCCTGGCTTAAGGCTTGCTCATGTCCATCTGTCCCTGCTCACCCTGGTACCAGCATGGCCCTGTCTCTGCCATGTCTTCCAGCCCTTTGTTATCTCCCCAGCTCATGGCTGTGACCTGGCAATATGGCTTCTTTGTCTTCATCCTTATGTAGCCTGTCCAGTTTCTTCCTCCTCACCTGGGGGAAGATGTTCATGTCAAACTTGACTCTAACTGACTTTCTAATGGACTTGTCCTTCCCTTATGCTCACTTCCTCTTTCCTTGTGGAAGTCTTTTCTGATGGCAGGTTTTTAGAAGTCCCTTATCTTTGGCACTTCACAGCGTGGTGTAGATGTAAACAAAAACGATCACAAAGAGGTTAAGGAATGTGCCGATGATGCCTAACATGGCCAAGATGGACTCCTCCTGCTCCTCCTTGACCTCCAGTGCCCGCACGTCCTCAAGGGTGATAACCGTGGTGCCCATGATCCTGATGCTCACCTAACCTGGTAAGGGGACACTTATCTGGAATGAAAGGAAATCATGAAGACCATGTCAGAAGTTGACACACATGCATGGAAAGCAATAATAGAACTTGGTGTGAATTAGAACGCTGCTTTCAAGGTGTAGTGTAGCTTCTTTTGTTTTCCTCCTGCTAATCTGCCAGAATTTGCACAAAAACCAGTCCCAAACAGCTGTGGAATTGGGCAGCCCCGCCGACGTAATCCTCCCACAAGAAGGTAATCAGTCGTTAATCGAACAAAACAATGGCCA